CAGGTTGTCACCGACATTTCGAAGTAACTTATGTCTTTATCCTCATGGTAGAATACGGATAAAGCATATTCCTCCGAAACGTCGGTAAGCACCTTCAAGGCTACATGGTGATACGACAGAGAAGACCAAAATAAGGTCTCATATAGGTGTTCTACATTTATACATCTTCTTTCATCAAGATGTGTTCTAACATTATCTTTCCATCTGTGTCATGTTCTCTCAAGTGCTCTTTTGTTGGAGGTTTTCCGATAAAAATTGTATTTTTCCTCATTTCTTACATGCATGCCCAGAAATGTATACAAAATATTTGTTGAAAAAGCAGTCACGAACATAAACCATTGCATTATTAGCTGTCTTAAGAGAATTAACATTACAAATGACTGTCTTGACCATTTTTTGGCCCAAAAATATGTTCTCTAAAAGTAAAGTTATATTTGATTTGTTTTAACAGCTGGGTTTATGACTAAGTTACACCTTTTAACCACTGTTACGTTTGCGCCATATACTCACACTACGAATTAAATTGGTTGAATAATTTTAAATTAAACAAATTCAACAAGGTAATTAAAATTATAATGTTACTTTTTGAGCAATCAGGTAGTTACAACAGTACTAACTCTTAGTGCAAATTTGTTGAATGATAAACGAAATCAAATACTATTTCGACGACGTTCCTTTTCTGAGCTAGTGTGAACACTCATAATCTCAATGTATCTGTCACCCAGCTGCAAGTTGATTGTGATATTTTCTCGTACCTCAGTTTAAGCTGCTGTGATGTCTCACTGGAATTCTGGCAGAGAGTTCGCACAGTGCCACGAGCGAGATAGACAGCGACTGTATGAAACCTGTCCACTCCACAGCATGGCCAATAAGTTGCAGTGAGGAGGAGGGGGGGGGGGGGGGGGGGGGACTGGACCACCAAAGTGGGGAATCACGGTACCTGAGGTAACCTGGCGTGATCAATATCGATCTCCGTTTCTGTCAAAATTTATTTTTTTCTTATATTTTACATTTATTTTTAGCCCACTTAAATTGCTTGACATTGACTGGGATGTCAGAAAAAAATTCTGAAGAGAATTTGGAACTATTTGTTTATGGTTAATTTATCTACGTCGTCAGTAGGTCAGACTGTCTGTAGTCCTACATGGTCGAAACTTCGAACCAAGGGAATAAGAAGAACCAGGGTAATTAAAGTAACAAAATTAGAGGATTTATAATTAGGTAACAATTACCATATTTTGCTATTATGATTAAAATAGAAGACGATGACAAGAGAATGACCCGTAGCATGCGTGTGGGAACTGAGAAATACGCATAAAAGTGTAGTCGGGAAACCTGATTGGAAGAGGTCAGTTGGAAAAGATGCGAGTATATTTGATGACGATAATTATGATAATAATTACTTGGAGAAATTAAAATCTTATCTTTTTATCGTCCACTGACTTAGCTGATGGAAGCAAAGATAATTGGCTGATTAATTAAAGTCAAGACGGGGATAGTTTCACAGAACGACATTCGCTCGAGACAATGTGAAAAGAAATAACCTTGGTTTAGACATCTTCAAAGTCGTCGCCGTGAGAACTTGAAATCTCGTTGCCCGCATGATACCCAAGCTTCTGGTTCTGTGCAATCATCGTAACGTAGATTATCAAATCTAAAACTTCTTGACGATGGTGAAGAGTCAATTGAATAAAAATTTCCTTGGATATTATCCATCATCTAGTAATAAAACGTTAGACGATGGATAATATCCAAGTAAATTTTTATTCAGTAACGTAGATTATTCGACTTTGTGGCAACGTTCAAATTATTTGGTAACGGTTTTTTTATTCGAAATTTTATTCACGAAGTTGATGTCGTATTCGATTTTGAGAATGCTTCCTGCCAGTCGCCGCTCCTCGCCCTCGAAAAGGCTACAATGCAAAGAGGACAAGTACTGTATGTACCTGCTATTGCTGAGTCTTCTTTTAGACCCTGTGAACAGGGTCCGGACAACGTACAGGTTGGAGTAGCCTTCAAGAGATGTTTCTGCGTGCCCTTTACAGTAATGAGGATTTATGAAACATGTACAGTATCAATAGATGAAACCAAGGCTTCAACCGAACCGTAGTGCCAAGATCGAGTAGGATATACACGCACTGAATCGCTTTGGAGGAAGACAAATGAAACGACTTGACAGATATGAACACTCTACTCACTCACGACTTATTTACTGAAACATAATTTTTGCGAGTGTGTGACTTTATATTATTCTGAAGGTCTGTAAGAAACACTTTTGCTTGTGAATTATGGGTAATTGCGTAGTATTAATGCAGTGACAGGTTGCGTACATCTTGCTTCCTGCCACTAAACCGATCATCATCAAGTAAAGCCGTTGGTATAGCACCTTGTAAAATATTTGCATGTCACCATGATCTGAAACCAGTAAGTGTAATTAAAGAGTATGATCTCGACGTGACTAGCATTATTAAGTGCGCAGAAGTAACCCAGATCACGCGGGAACTTTCCTGCGTTTCTTCATCTCCTAAGTTAGTGAAAGGATTCAGATGGTTATTTTTTTTTATTTGTAGTGTTGTGTCTGACGACAGGTCCATATGAACAGGATCATTCCATCCTTTTCTCGGACTGGGACCTGTTCATATACGTTCTTGGCAGATGATCCAGAAGTGGTTTGCCATTGCCTTCTTCTGTGTGTGAATGGAGTAATTGTTGGGATGCAACGGAGGAAAACTCCGTGTTGCCTAGACCAAGGCCTTGCCCAACACAAGTTATAAATCCGCCCTTTTATGTAATGGACACAAACTTTTTTGGGGTGAGGGCAATCAAGAGGATATTTCAGTTCACACACTCATGTTTTTCTACAACTGAGGTGCTCTTATTATTTTGACATTTTCAAGGTGCCTGCAGTCAACTGTTCTTGGGGTGGAAATCTGCAAGACTTGAAGAAGCATCTCACAAATTCGCACAAAGAATGGACATACGAATACAAGGGAAAATTTATGACTGGCTTGGTAGACATCAAGCCTGCTCGAAGGTACTGCTACATCATATTCGCTTACGGTGAAATATTCTATCGATATTTCTCAGTAAAGAACGGTACTCTCTATGGAGTACTGCAATATATAGGCCCAAGGGAAAATTCAGCAAAATATCGATACAAGATGATTTTCGATAACAAAGACGATATGGGAAGTATATCGATATGCCATGTGACTCAAAGTTTTGTGGACAGTATGGACGATATTATCCTTTTCTCGGACTGGGACTTGTTCATATACGTTCTTGGCAGATGATCCATAAGTGGTTTGCCATTGCCTTCTTCTTTGTGTGAATGGAGTAATTGTTGGGATGCCACGGAGGAAAACTCCGTGTTGCCTAGACCACGGCCTTGCCCAACACAAGTTATAAATTCGGGCACCGCCGGGAATCGAACCCAAAACCCCAGGATTACAAGGCCAGCGTTCTAACCGCCAGACCACCGTGGTATTCAGATGGTATCCGCACTAAAAGTTTTTTTTTGAATTAAAATTTTTATATATGTTGGTCCAGTATCGCTCCCGCCTTATCCGAAAATTATATCGAACGTTATCGATTTTGTCATGAATGGCACATCGTATAAAATATTGATGTATGTAACGTATGTATGGGTTTATTGAGGTCACTGTTGTCTTCCGATTCCTAAATTCCAAATCTGATGTCTGTGGCTTAATTTTGGTGGTTCAGGATAGAGACCAATGGTTTTCCTCTGTGGAGACAGCAATCGACCTTCGAGTTCTATAAACTGAAATAAACTTACTGACCAGCTTAGAGAATATCAGCTTCTGAATAACAATTCCGTTCCATATATTTACAATGGAAAATCAGATGATCGTACAGTTTGCAAATCCCAGGTTTTACTCTGGTCCCTCATTCCGGGCCTTCAGAACAACGAACAGAACCCGCTTTATATTCAGTTATTCTCTCGTGATTTAATGTTCAGGTCAACTGTTTTAATTCCGGCCATAGAACAAGTTGTCCTGGCTGAAGTTGTATACGGAAACAGGTTTAAATGTCAATATTATATCGTCCTATAACTTTGGGTTCTGAAATTCCGTCTTTGCGTTTGTTTCCGTGGGACAGAGCGGACAAGCATACAGGCTGGCAGTTTCATGAACTGCGGGTTGCGTAAGTGAATGTTCTATGTCGTCAAAAGGGCCTCGTGGTCGGTGCTAACAACTGCCAGTTCATGGCACGTTTAATGCAGATTTCCACACCGAGACGTTAAGCAACGAGTGTCAGATCGGTGTTACAACCCAACCTCCTGGCGCGAAGGCTAGTCGCCCCTTCGAATTCTCCCCAAGGGCTGCTTTTTATCATTCTCATAACAGTTTATTTTTAATTGGTGTTTGAGCTGTCTGTCTGTCCTTCTATACTTCAGCTATTAGATTCGACTTCTGCATGTGCCTATCAAATCTTGAGCTATTTTACGATGTTGTTTTAACTGTGGGTGTTATTTTTTGGCACACCCTAGAAGACCACCTTGTTTATATGTTACCAAATAAATTTCCTGATGAAAGGCTGTCAAGCAACGTATGTTTAATTGTACTGAGTTATAAATAAATACACCAAATTGGCTGCGGATGGTCTTGGCCACTATATTATTCCGACGTCACATACTGCTTTTACTTAAGAGTTATCAGAAATACGGATTACATTTTGCAGTAAAAATCCACATGGCGTTAATAAACCGAAAATACGTCACTGCTGACACTCTAACCAGAGCAGTTGACAAGGTTCAACGTCGACTGCACATGGTCTTGAATGACCGTAGTTCTGATACTGAATAGAGATGCCTGTCGTCCGGGTTGAAGCGCCGTGTAGTCTGATAGAATTTTACCAACGTTTCAGAGGTCCTTGCTGTATCAATCATTGGAGCGATCACACCCAGGAGATATCCATCTTCGTGCTTACAGCCAGGGAAAACCCCAGATGCCATATACGGAATACGTTTCACGTTGCTATATTAAAATAAACGTGGTCTCAAGTCTACTGTAGTAATTAACACCAAATTTATTCTATCTTTAGAATTTCTTATGTACTCGTGATACACATACTCATCGTTAGAGCAACTGGAACATACAGTTTCCACAAGGCTTTTTAAAAAGTTAGGTTTATAAAAGTATATTCAATTTAAAATTTAGCTTATTTTCTGATTGGCTATGCATTTGGATATAAAACATGCAGCTTATGAGGGTACATGACTAGGAATTTCGACGCTTATCTATGGGGCTTGATGTCAACTTGGCATAAAAATTATGCAAGTTGGATGGGCTGGACATGTAGTTAACACGAGGATGACCAAAAAATGCATAATAAAAAGAAAACTTAAGAAAATATGTTAGAAAGCGACCACTTGAAAGATTAGGAAGGTGATAGAAAGGCATTAAAGTGGATATAAGATTGTGATTTTATAAGGCGGATGGAACTTTTTCAGAATCTTGTCCAATGGCTGGCTTTGACAATGATGACATCGGGTCTTCGTGTTCTAATATATCAGAGGGTTTGTGTATTTGTAAATAATATACTGAATACGTAGTTTATGACAGAAAATCAAAACGCTTTTAATTTATCTTGTACGTCATTTCGAAGGTATGTTGCACCACATCTGGTGAATGATGTGGTTTGTAAAATTTGGGCTCATTACCTTAGCCTCATTTATTATATTTCAGAACTATGTCAATTACAGTACTCAAATAATTAATGACGCCAGGACCCTTGAGCTTTTCTACATTGTGTAATTAGAGAGGATTGTTTAGCAATGTACCAACTACCAATTGACATTATTTATTTAAACTTTTGCTCCATCTGCGAGTGGTTTCGTGTAATAGTAGTTTATCCATTTGGACTAGTTTAAAAGGTTGGTGGATGAATGTTTTTGTACGATTAAAGTCAGTTCCAGCATTAAAATGTCGTAACGATTTGAATAATCTGATTGCTTCACTTATGTCCTTTTACACTACATAATAAAACATTAATCTAATTTACACTGTGATCTAATATTAACTCTCAAGAAGACCAGAGTTTCTGCTGTACTTTATGATTACATCCAGTTTTACACTATTTTATTATTAAAGTAATAGCACAGCTAGCTTAAGAATATGAACCTCCTAATCTAACTGCGCTCTTAGTGACTTTCAGTATCTCACTGGCCTTAACGTTTGTTTATTGCAAGCTCAATTGCGTTACGCATATCACACCGCTTAACTAACTTAATCGAGCAGAGTCCTCCTTGAGAAGCTGATAATCGCTGAGTTGGTCAATAAATTTCGCGTCTTTATGGAGCCCCAAGTTTAATTTATATCCTCACAGAAATCCGTTTCTGGATTCTGTTTGAAACCAGTTAAATCCGATCTCCACCCCAGTATCCTATTTCTTTAATAGCCACATTGACCCTTAACTTCCTAGTATTTTTCCTTAAGTGAATGTTCTTCAGCCCAAAATATATGCCCAATACCCTAAAATATTGGTATTTAATAAGCTAAAAATATGATTCAGGAATTAAAGTCAATCAATTTGGGACGATATGCAATTTCGACAATAAATGGTCATAAGTAAGGAATAAAATAGTTCTAAGGAAAACTAAATATTTACAAGTAAATAATAAAAAAAGGCATATTATTTGGTTAGAATTGTGCAATTTAAAAAATAAAACAATTGCAAAACTGACAACTGAAATACATTTTTTTCGGAATTCTATTTTTGATGACATAAAAACAAAATAATTAATATAGTCGACTATGGCCACTTCCCAAGAAATGGAAGACAACAGACGGACCAACCAAATTGCTTGAGTAAATATCACCGGGAAATAGGAATACCAATAGTTAGATGGATGTAGGGAATCCAGGACGCAATGGTAGAGAGACGAGTGGAGGAAGGACAGTGGATGGACAGAGAAGAATGGTGACTGGAGGTTGGAATAAGACGGTGACGTTATAAAATCTGAACATTCACAAACACATTCATCACTGTCTGCATAAATTTAGTTTTAAGGGAAGAGTCCAGAATTCGTGTGTTTACTCAGCTGCGTAATACATCCAAAGTTAAAGATGACCGTTAGCGTCAGATAATGGAAAAAGTTTTTGAAAGTGGTAAGGTCATTTGGACCACTGCTCATTCGACCCAGCGATCGGTTACAGGGCTCTCGTTACAAGCACGTA